CCTCAAGCATGGTATATTCTACCCCTACCCTTGGTCATGTGCTCTAATTGATGTAACCCACCCATACCTCAAGCATGGTATATTCTACCCCTACCCTTGGTCATGTGCTCTAATTGATGTAACCCTCTAATAACTTAAGCATGGAATATTCTACCCCTACCCTTGGTAATGTGCTCCAATTGATATAAATTTCCCACACCTGAAGAATGGAATATTTTACCTCTACCCTTGGTCAGTGCTCCAATTGGCGTAACCCTCTAATAACTTAAGCATGGAATATTCTACCCCTACCCTTGGTCATGTGCTCCAATCAATATATATCCCTCACATAGCTTAAGCATGGTATAATCTACCCTTAGCCCTGGCCATAATTACCTGTCCATTTCTTTTACCATTATGATAACTGCCTTTGTAGATATCTCCATTAGGTAATACAGCCTTGCCTACACCATGACGTTCTCCTAACTCATTCCTTTGTCCTTCATATTCCTAAATTATACAGAGCTCAAATTATTAGCTTGATCTTTTATCAAACAACTGTTTGATTCCTTAAAACAACTTGAAACTCGAGCAAAAGCTAAGCTAAAAAAAAAAACACACGATGTTTTCAAAACATTCTCACTATTGAAACTGTAAGTGATAAACTCAACTATTTTGCTCTTTTTGGATTAAATTGATGGACGATAAGAAAAACTAAAAGTTTGTTTTAAAAAGAATCAAAGAAAGTTCATTTTCCAAGGTTATTTCCAACAAAAACGTTTAAAAAAATAAAATAAAATAAACTTGAGAAAAAATTCAGACTCAAATAGTTTTATCATAGCTTAACTTACTCCCAAGTCGTATTCTCTGTCGCCTTCCTCGTCGGAGTCAAAGTGTAGGTCTGACATTTTGTTTTATCGACAAAAAAATCAAAGCTTTTCTTCCTTTTTCTTCATCGGTAAAAAATTCCTATATGAATTCTGAAAAATGCAAAAACTGACGAAAGATTACATAATCCAGTCCCCCACAACCTGAGGTGACACAGGAAACCCAATCTACAAATAAGGAGTCTCGGTATCACGTGTGAGTACAGTTTGTTGGGTTTCTTCCTTCAGCTTGATTTGAGGTCTTAGTACAATTTCCCTCTTTTCGCTAAATTCCAATAAAATCTGTAACTGAGTTGGCCGAGCCTTGACTTAACAAATTTCGCGGCATCCCTTCTTAAAAATGGGCTACAGGGCTTAAGTTTACTCTGAGCCTCACTAATTCTTGCATGTTGGTTGACGACAACAAATTAAGAATTCTTTTCGTATTCAAGCAGTGAGCGCCAAAAATTGCTTTCTTGAAGAGAGGCCTAGGCCTGTTGAATTGTACAAGGCTAAAATCTTGTTATTCAGAAAGTTTAACCTGTTTGGAAGTGGAGATGACCGATGAAAGTGGAATCAAAGTGATAACCCAAAGCAAAAATTTGAATCGAAAATGTGGTTTAGGCCTTCATTATTTTTGCTTATTTCCCATATATTTTCTTTAAAAAAGCCTGACAAAGCAACATTCTAACACAAGTGCAACAAAACGATTGAAAATACCGCTTCAAACTGCAGGTATCTTATTTATCATAGTACATCAGTTTCTAACTGTTAAAAAAAGGTTTTGAGTGTTAACCCAAAACGAAAATTGGGATCAAAACTCATACGAAAGTCTAGTTTTTGGCGCTTTTTTGCCATTATTGCTCAGTATTGAAAAAAAAATTCCTCTTAAAGCATTCCTCAGTTCAGCTCTGTCCTTTGTTAGATCAAAGAACATGGCGGCTGTTTCATTGTTATTTATATCTCAAGGGATTTTGAATCTTGTATTGGTTGCTCCTGAAGTGATAGTCGTGATAGCCCAGAGGGTTGTTTTAGAGGTTCGCCAACTTTGGGTTAGGCGTAGAGATCTTGTGAGCGCTTTTCTTGAAACTTCTTTCGATTGCCGCCATTTTATAATCTTGACCAGTGACTACCACGAGTTGAATTGTCTTCTTTACAAAGAGGGAAAAAATACGGATACTTCCATTTTGGGAAAAATTTCGCAACGTGAGACTGAGTTATGTTTTAATTTAGTGTAGTGTGTATTTTAATTGTTATTCCTTGATAAAAAATTAACAAATAACACATACCCTCTAATGCTCTATTTACATCGAATTCGTTATATACTATATTATGTTCCATATTTTCCTATGCTAGTTTTTTATCGTTTAATTTTATTTGGTAACTTAAGGGTTTTTGTGCACCAATAAAAACAAGGTATTTTCTTAGGAATCCGGCAGACATTCATAATACGAAACGTGTGGTACATTATAGTTTAACTTGGACAGAGACCATGACTTATAATTGGTTTTACCAAGAGTATAAATAAGAGAGGGAAACTTCTTATAACGCGCGCGCCATGTAAATTCCCGGTTGGGCTATTTTTAGTAGCCGGATGCAGTTAAAAGTTCGCCTTACCCTACTCCCGTGCGTCCCTCTCTTATTTAAGCTCTCTTGGTTTTACTTAATCTGAAAAATAGCATAAAATTAGGCAATCAGTAAACGACTGCCATTGTCTAAAATCTCATATTAGTATCTAATACCATTTACGGAATGTTCTAACATTTCAGCCCACGTGCATTTCATGCAATCCCTAGAGCATTACGTCTTTGTTTAACGGCTGCACATTAGAAGACACATGAATATGGATACAACTCAAACAAAGAATCTTATTCTCTAGGGAATGACACGTGGTCTGAAATCGGAATTTTTAAACATGAATGCGCCCAAAGTAAACAGGTTGTCTATCAAAACTTTTACTATACAACCTAGTGTCGGTAATGAGAGAAATTCGAGATTAAAATGAAGATTTAGTTAAGATTTAATTATATTTCAAGAGTTTGTTGACTATTTCGTAAACTTTTCGCGTGAATTTTCTATATCCTTTCCTCGTCAGGTGCAGGTAGTCGAACATATCGGTATGGTCGATGAGCCCGTCTCCTTTGACGAATCCAGGGTCAGCGTCATAGTACTGCGCATGCGGAATAGCAGTGACTATCTCGCTCAAGGAGTGGTTAACTTGAAAGTGTTTTTCACGAAGAGGGTTGGGTTTTTCGCCTCTTGGTAAAAGACCCTGGAATGGAAAAGTTTATAGAATTAAAAAGCAAACACGCTGTAACGTGCGCGCTACGTTAGTAACTGAGAAGTGGCAATAGAACGTTTTCTCAAGGTTGCGTGCGCATCCAACTTGACGGGCCACAAAACTGAAAAACACAAATTCAGTAAAATTGAGAAGACAGTTTTATATTTAAAGAGGAGAATAATCGATTTGATAAATTTTTATTGAAAAATCTAATAGATATGCATGATAATTCTCATTATAAAGCTCCTGTTCTGGTATCGTGGCCCGTCACTAAGTTCCTTAAATTTGGATGCCAACGCAACCTTGAGAAAACAGTCTATAGACCCCTTGAGCAGAGTCCCGAGAGCATTGTTCTGTGGGACAAAACATAAGAAAAGAAAAGACGGGCTATCGCGTTTTGTCTTCCATGCAGAACAACTCCTCTAGGAAATGAATGCAAGGGGTCTATAGCAGATATAAACCCCTTGCATGTGATGTCAAAGCAGCTCAATTTGGAGGACAAAACGAAAGAATTTCAATCTGCTGAGAATTGGAAACCTATTGTTATATATGTCCTCCAAATTGAGCTACGTACCAACGGAATGCAAGGAGTCTATTAGAGTTATACTCTGTTGCCTTCAAACAACAGGTATTTGAATGGGTTAATAATTGATACAATGAAATTTATAGAAAATTGACACAAATGGACGCGTACGTTCTTAAAAATGCGAGGCCAACATGAAAATACAAAAGAAATGCTGTATTTATGGATGGAATTGAGTGGATTTTGCTGAGGTTTTGTTGGTTTAGATCATTCGAAAAGACGGAGTTTTGTGAAGACAGGCAACAAACATGGCGCTCGACGAAAGCTGATTGCGTTGCTAAGCGACGGAAGAATACTTATAGACTACCGCTGGGATGATAAAGTGGGAGCATAATCGCTCCATCCCTTTCTCGATTTCGCGTAAAAAGAGCTCCAGGCCCAAATGCGTTCACAATAACCGCTAAAAGAAAACAAAAAATGTTCTCAATTATTTAACCTCTATCTGAAATAATTAGACATTTGAACAGCAAATCCTTTATAAAGAAATAGTAGAAATATCTTAATCGAGAAGCTGCTTTCCTCCCCCTTCCTTTTTCGATCCGGAAGTCGTTTTCCAAACCATTCAGTGACGTCACACTCAATAAAAACTTTTCTCTCTTCCAAATTCTATTTTTAAATCATAAAAATTTCAAAGCACGTTTCCAAGGAACTAGTATTTTTTTTAAAAAAATAAGGAAATAAGACCAAAATTTTTGTCAAGAGTTTGTGTGATTATATTAAATGACATGTCTTTTAAACGCATCCCACATGGAAAAGATTCCTCACGGTTGCTAAGTCATCAGAGACAAGTGCGATTTTTCGAGTTAGCTGGTCATAGCAAGGGGTTAATCATCTACGGTCTAGGGGCCGACTAACCTCTCCCTTAGGCTTCGGCCGAGCTTCCTGATCAGTCTGYAAATCTTCGGATAGCGGTGTCGGGGCCGAAATCTCCGGCGTAGCCGTAACGCTGCCATACGACGGTTCAGCACTAGATGTCTGGAAGTATGGTCCTAAAATTCTCCAATTGAAAACTAATCATGATTCCATAGATGATCTAAATTCGGTGCAAAGTTTTTAGTAGCTCTACTATACAGTCTACTTAGTTTTACCAAACTTTACTAATTTGTGCAAATTTGTGCACTTTCCTACGAAGTTTTCCAGGCCGCATTTGCTCCAAATTTTTTAATGAAATTAAAATAAAAAAACAACTACGATTTATTTGATTTTATAACAAATTTATTTCTCAAAACCAGCTCTAAATTTGTAAATAATTGAATTTGTATTACAAAAAACATATTTGTGACAAATATAGATGTAGCTAGTTATACAATACTGTTTACCTAATATACTGAACTTAACTTACCAATAATTTAGTTCTTAGAAATATATGAAGAAGTCAAAAATAACATATTTTTAAGAAAAACTAAATATATACTAAACTCGTATTGATTCTTGTCTACAAAATATGAAATATTTTAACAAACAGTTTCGGACTCAAAAAGTGCCGGATTAATATTTGTGTGCTATTCTTCTAACATTTATAGTAAAGTCTTTTAATCTACTTCCTCGATAGTCGGTCCTCCCGCGCTGTTATTGGTGCTTTGTTGTCCTTTGCCATGTAGTTTCGCCATGATGGGAGAACAGATTCTCTGGAGCTCTTTTTCTTTGTGTTCAAATTCTTCTTTCTCTGCCAGAGTATTGCTATCCAACCAACTGATCACCTCTTTGACTTTACTTTGAACATTTTCACGATCCTCAGAGGACAACTTGCTGGACACAGCCGGGTCCTCTACTGATTGTTTCACGTGATAGACGTAATTCTCCAAGCTGTTTCTTGCCTGTACTCTTTCTCTCTGAGCATCGTCTTCACTTTTGTATTTCTCAGCTTCATGGACCATTCTTTCGATCTCTTCATTTGACAAACGTCCTTTGTCGTTCTTGATGGTGATGGAACTCGATTTACCTGTGCTCTTGTCTTTAGCAGACACGTTCAGGATGCCGTTAGCATCGATGTCGAAGGTGACTTCAATCTGCGGCACGCCCCGAGGAGCAGGAGGAATTCCATCCAGTTCGAATCTTCCAAGAAGATTATTGTGTTTGGTCATGGCTCTTTCTCCTTCGTACACTTGGATGGACACTCCTGGTTGGTTGTCTGAGTACGTTGTGAACGTTTGAGATGTCTTGGTTGGGATGCGTGTGTTTCTCTCGATTAACTTGGTCATCACTTCTCCAGCTGTTTCGATTCCAAGAGAAAGAGGAGTGACATCAACCAAAAGCACATCCTTCACTTCAGAGCTCTGATCACCAGACAGGATAGCTGCTTGTATGGCTGCACCGTATGCTACCGCCTCGTCTGGGTTGATGGATTTGTTCAGACTTTTACCGTTGAAGAATTCTTGCAATAACTTCTGGATCTTGGGAATACGTGTGGACCCTCCAACAAGCACCACCTCGTCAATGTCTTTCTTTCCAAGCTTGGCATCGCGGAGAGCTTTTTCTACTGGTTCAAGACACGAACGGAAAAGGTCTGAACAGAGCTCTTCGAATCTTGCGCGGCTGATTCTCGAGTAGAAGTCTATTCCTTCGTAGAGTGAATCAATCTCGATGTTGGCCTCGCTGCTTGACGACAGAGTTCTCTTGGCTCGTTCACATGCTGTTCTTAATCTTCTCATCGATCTTTGGTTGCACTTGATGTCTTTTTTGTACTTTCTCTGAAACTCTTTCACAAAATGTTCAACCATTCTGTTGTCAAAGTCCTCGCCTCCAAGATGCGTGTTGCCGGCTGTCGACTTGACTTCRAACAGCGACCCTTCATCGATGCAYAGAATAGACACATCAAMAGTCCCTCCACCAAGATCAAAAATCAGCACATTTTGTTCTCCTTTGAGTTTCTTGTCCAGTCCATAAGCCAAAGCAGCAGCCGTCGGTTCGTTGACGATTCTCATCACGTTCAGTCCAGCAATGACTCCTGCGTCTTTCGTAGCTTGTCGTTGTGAGTCGTTGAAGTAAGCTGGTACCGTCACTACTGCATCTGTAACTTTACTTCCAAGGTACGCCTCGGCAGTTTCTTTCATCTTGGTTAACACCATAGAGCTGATCTCTTCTGGTGTAAACACCTTGGTTTCRCCTTTGAATTCAACACGAATCTTTGGTTTGCCTTGGTTGATGACTTCGAAAGGCCAGTGCTTCATGTCGGCTTGAACACTAGCATCGTCAAACTTACGGCCAATCAGCCTCTTGGCATCAAAGATGGTGTTTTTAGCGTTCAAAGCCACTTGGTTCTTGGCAGCATCACCAATAAGTCGTTCAGTGTCTGTGAAGGCCACGTAACTTGGAGTCGTCCTGTTGCCTTGGTCGTTAGCGATGATTTCCACTTTACCATTTTGGAAAACCCCAACACAGGAGTACGTGGTGCCAAGATCGATTCCAATCGCTGGTGTTTTAGGCATCTTCTTCTTCTTCTTCTTCTTCTTTGTAGCTTTTTTTTCTCTTGTAGTTTTATCTTGTTTTTCGTTTCTCATTAGATTACTGCTGGTTCGCTCGCACTCGCATTTATACCCCGAGCTACGAAATCCAGAACATTCGCTCTCAAAATAAACCATTATGTAATGCTCGGTTCGTACGTTCTAGATTGCGTGACTCAGTAAAATACTTTGTTTACAAAAATGATGAAACTGTTCACGATCAAACGCGAAGGTTCTAGAGGAATCCCCTCTGAAAGATTCGAGAACTTTCTAGAGACTTCCGGTAAATCCGAGTACTTCCGGCCGCCATATTGGAAACAATAGTATCCAGTCCTCCTCAGACAGATACCAAAAAATTAAGTTTAAAGGGATGTGTTAATTTAAGATATAAAAATATTGTAATGATATCTAATACACTAGCTATTTCTTTGATACTATGCATTGTTTTGGAGTCTAACAAGTTTTATCATATGTTTTTTAGTAAATTTGTTTTTACACAGTCTCTCTCGACCTTTTACCACAGGTAGACAATGAAAACAGAAACTAAACAACATGGACGATATAAAATTTGACAAGTTTTCTCTAGAAATTTCTAGTTTACTCTAAAAATATGAATCACAAAAAGGCTTTGAAGGTTCAAAATAACAGTAAAGGTATTAAGTAATTATTTATTTATAGAGAGTTTTAAAATGAAGTAGTTTTTTTTCTTACCAAAACGAGAATTTTTGAGGAGGGAAGCTTTTCATTTATCGTCCATACAATGGCTTCTATCCCTTCAACTATCTGGTCTGCAGTGCTGTGATGATTATTTGTGCCAACCAGAAGTACAACTACCTAGAGGTTAGTAAAAGAATATTAGCTGGCTACGTTCAATTCTGTTACTTCTTGTTTAAAAAGTCTTTTTTTTTTTCAATACAAAGAGTGTGACTGAAACTTGAGATCTCATTTTTCTATCTTATGTAACAATAATTTTTGCAATGCTGGGCTCGAAATAGCGGCCCGCCAATGGCCAAATGACAGGCCAAATTTCAAGTTTTGCAGGTGAAACTAACAATACACTGCCAAATGAATAACAAAATGGCATGCAAAATTTACTGGAATTACCTCCTTTTAGCATGCTCCTTTACTATGGCAGGCTGCAATTTTTTTCTATTTCGAGCCCTGCATTGGCGTTTTTTCTTACCTTGGGTGAGAGGGCATCTAACTCCCCATTCTGCATTCTCCATAGGACATGCTCAGTGCAGTCTCCTCCAATACCAAAGTTAAGTGACCTCAAAGGCTTGAAGAGTTCATCCCACTCCTATAAAAACATTTTAAAAACAATTTTTGTAAATGGAAAAAATAGTAGAGACAAAGCATGTACGTTACAACTGACATCACATGACACTAAAGTGACTTCTCATTATGGTTATCATACCAGTGCTACCGACTTTAATTTGCTACGTACTACATACTCCAAAAGTTATAGGCGGGAGCTAGTGATAAACGCAAATCAAGATTCTTTCTGGCATCTAGCACACAGGGCTCCCAATGGAGCAAATGCAAGATTAGTGTTGCAGCTTCCCTGGTGGCTCACACCAATTGTTCTGAATATTGAGGGCTATTATTAATTAATGGTCGATTAATGGACAATTACGTCCTGACAAAATTGCCACTTGTCTGGATATACGCCTAGCTTAGGGCCAGTCATTTTGACTGGTCACATGTTAACCAGTTTTGGGAATCACAGGTGGTGTAGCAGTGAGAGTGCTTGCCTCTCACCAATGCAAACCTGGGTTGAGTCCCACTGGGCTTGGTGTAGTTTGTGAGTAGATTGCTTATTGATTGTCTCCTGTGCTTCAAGGTTTTTCTGGGTTCTCTGGTTTTCCTCCCTTCATCAACATGCTGTACATCATGGATTTACTATCTATTAATTACACAGCTTCTCATTAATCCCATATAGGTAACTGTCCAATTATTTTCTTAATTGGACAGGTCTTGTTGTTATGGGATTAATAAGGCAGTTATATAATAATAATAGGTAATGGGATTTCATGCTCCCCAATCAAGAAATAATTAGACTTGAAAAATTCCTCTGACTGCCAAATTGGACTCGGCCTACAGCCTCGGAATTTTCCTCGTCCAATTATTTCTTAATTGGACAGCATGGAGTCCTATTACATATACTAACATATTATAACTGAAGCTTAATACCTCTGTTTCTTCCATGTTTCTTATCAAAGAATCTCCAACGAAAAGTATTTGGCATGAAGAATCTTTTGCTTGGCGTAAAAATCTTGCATGCTAAAAATAAAAAAACAACAAAAATGTTATTTCAAAAAAACTTCTAAAGTACATATTATGTTAAATTTATATACACCTACTTTACTTGCAAGAACGTTGTCATACAAAAATAGAACATTAGTGATTTAGTGGGATAGGAATTATATTAAAAAACAAAAGAAGATCACTGAAGCTGAACTTTTTCTTTTGTCTTTTAATGTATTCCTATCTCATTAAATTACAAATGTTCTATTCTTGTATGACAACCTTCCCGCAAGTAGGTGTATAAATCTTGAACTTTAAAGCTTTAATAGACAGATAAAATTTTCGCTTTGTTCATCAACGGGGAAAGGTCGTTCAAAGTTTCTTATCAATTGTTCTGGCAGCTAGCTTCTCTGTAGCCTTAGTCGATGGTTCTGAACCCTAGTCTTGGTTATGTGTTACAGTGCGAATCGGAAAACCGTGGGCACCTAGAAATATTTCAAGAATGTTTAATAGCCAATCAGAAGTGTTATTGTTATCTTTCCGTTATCTTGTGTTTAAAAAGTCAATTCTGATTGGCCAACGAAGAATAGAACGTTCCTAGAATATTTCTAGGTGCCCATGGTTTTTAATTCCCACTGAATCTAAGCCTTTGGATTTTTAATCAACTCGTAATGTTCCATATACAGTACTTTCAATAATCAATTTCAGCATACAGCTCAATAATATTGTACAGAGTTTGCAGAATGTTGAGAACCAGGTCTTAAACTAGTTAGTTATTTATTAACAGGCTGAAGTCAAAAAATTCAGACGTTTTGAAGTAGTCAAAGGAAACATTAAAAAACAATCTTCAAATCTTAGTGTAGTCTTCATTCTCGAACCTTACCATGCTATTCCAGCGTCCATCTCCTTGAACATCTTGAAGGGGAGTAGGTACAGTTGCTGGATTACTCATTGCTTTAAAAAAATCTATGGATATGAATTTAAAAATATAATAAGTAATAAGCCTGAAGCGAGATGACGTTTTACACCCAACTCTATACCATAATAGTTTTTAAAATTCTTTCATATTAAAATTTTTGATTCCTTAGAGAATACATGAACAATAGTCATGATTAAAGAACAAAAGCAATGTGAAAAGGATTATGGTCTAGAGACGGGGGTAAAACGTCATCTCGCTTCAGGCTTATTAATATTATCAGAATTCTATTATTAATAGCATGTAGGACTGATAGCTAAAGAAAATATTAGATACATTCCTACAGGAGTTGAGGTACGTGGCCAATTCACCTTTTCGGCACCAGCCATCACAGGGCATAAATTGTTTTAGATTGTGTTACAATCACCAAAACGTTCGGACATTGTTCTCGAATTTCCGTACAAATGTACTGACTCTAAATGAACTATTTACTTGGTTAATGTTTAGTTAGTTCCTCTCTAAATACAAGTAAATAATCATTTTTCTAGCTTGATTGAAGCTTTTCTTACTGCTGTTAAGAGAGTTAACTAAAGAAATCTACCTAAATTTTCTCTTTAAAGTCAGTGATGTCTGAACTTTTTGGTGACCGTAACACAATCCAAGCTAGCGCTGAAAAGGTGAATTTAACATGTGTAATGAC